GCCATTGTTCACTCGTGAACCTGGTATCTCTATCACTCACAATAGTTAAGGGATGTCCAAAGTCTTTTACCCAATGGTTAAAGAATTCCCGAATTACCAATTCAATCTTTGCTTCCGCAGGTAAAGCTACAAAAACAGCATACTTAGTGAATCTATCCACTACGACCATTACTTGAGTTTTCCCATTCCTGCTTTTGACCTTAGTATCCATGAAATCTATAGAGACAGAGTCTCCAGGGCCGGTAGGGATAGGTAAGGGCTTAAGTAGCCCGAGGGGCGATTGCGTGGTGCTTTTGTTCCATTGGCACACTTGGCAACCCTGCACATACGCGATACAGTCTGCTTTCATTCGAGGCCAGGTGTAGGAACGCAACAAAGTTCCGTAGGTCTTCTTCCATCCAAAATGACCTTTTGTATCATGGCATTCCCCCAAGATCATACTTTTGATCTCTTCATTATTAGGTATATACAGCCTATCATTTACACCAGTTCGTTCAAACAATAGACCCTGAGTTACTTTATGATCGGAAAACTCTGGTGGCTTTTCTTGCACTAGCTTAATCATGGTTCCATATATAGGATCAGAGGAATACGCATTCCTAATCTTCTCCTGTAGATCAGTACCCACATCTAAATAAGTCACAATAGCACCGAAAAAGTCTGATCTACAACTTAGTGCATCAGCAACAACATTATATTTACCCTTTACTGGCTTCAACTCAAAATCGAACATATCAATTTCCGCAGCCCACCTTGTCAACTTAGGTGTCATTCGCGCCTGCGTTTTGAGCCAGCGAAGCGTTTCATGGTCGGAGTATACTTTAAAATGCCTCCCTAGAAGGTAGTGTCGCCAATGATTGAGAGCCTCACACAAAGCATACAACTCTCGTTCATACGTTGAAGCAGCCACCTTCTCGTTAGGTAAGCGGCAAGACATAAACTCTACAGGTTTGTACCCATGCCCATCATCTTGCTGGAGTACAGCGCCTATACCATATTGACTAGCGTCGGTCGTGACCACAAAAGGTAATGAAGGGTCCGCCACTTTCAAAACCGGATAGTTGATCAAACACTTTTTCATACGCTTGAAAGACATAGTGCAGTCTGAATCCCACTTCCAAATTACTTCTTTCTTAAGTAACCGGCGAAGGGGAGCAGCTATTATCGTAAAGTGTCTTACGAACTTTCGATAGTAGATGGTTAACCCAAGGAACGACCGCAACTCAGTCAAGGTGCGGGGGTTCGGCCAATCTCTGATTGCTGCTATCTTGGCATCTTCTAGTTTGACCCCATCTCCATCAATCACATGTCCTAGGTATAACACCCGACGCTTAGCCCATTCACACTTCTTTGGGTTTAACTTCAGTTTTGTTTTTCTCAATTTATTTAGCACAAGTCGAAGGTGCTCAGCATGTTTTTTTTCATTTTTGCTGAAAAATCAAAATGTCATCTAAATAAATCACAACAAATTTATCGAGTCATTCACGAAAGAGTTCGTTCATCGTTCTTTGGAAAGTGGCAGGGGCATTTGTGAGACCAAAGGGCAAAACTACGAACTCATAATGCCCATACCTTGTCCTAAAGGCAGTCTTATGTTGGTCTTCCGGCTCAACTTCAATCTGATGGTAGCCGGATTTTAGATCAATCTTTGAGAACACTTTGCTTCCCTGCACGCGATCCAGCAAATCGTCTNTCTTCCGGCTCAACTTCAATCTGATGGTAGCCGGATTTTAGATCAATCTTTGAGAACACTTTGCTTCCCTGCACGCGATCCAGCAAATCGTCTATCCGCGGCAATGGTTCGGCATTTTTCACGGTTATATCGTTTAACCTCCTATAATCTATACACATGCGAACGCCGCCGTCCTTCTTAGGCACAAAGAGCACAGGCGCACCATAGGGTGAGGAGCTAGGTCTTATCCAACCATTTTTCAACAACTCATCGAGTTGGGTTCGCAGTTCATCCAATTCCTGGGGTGACGTACGATAGATAGGCCCCTTCGGGGCCTTCGGGGGTGCGCTCCCTGGAATGATATCAATGCGGTGGCGGATTGGTTTTTCCACTACACCGCTTGGGGCTTCAGCCACATCTGCGAACTCTTTCAGGATCCTCTCAATCTCTTGGGACCTGACTTCTTCCTTTGTTTCTCCTTCCTTTACTGGGTGCACATATGCAACAAAGATTTGGTCATACAAGTTATGTTTCTTAACATGGCGAGCGAACGTTGGGGCACTCATACAACAGTGAGCTAGGCTGCTTTCTTTTCCAGATTCATGATAGAGGCGGATCTTCTTCTTACCTCCTTGCGGACTTGGAAGCCAGCATTCATGCTCTCGCAACTTTAGATCCGCATGCGCAGCCTCACCCCAATCCATTCCTAATAACACATTGAAGGACAAGTTATCCTCCACCAAGAAGGTCAGAGAGTGGAGAACGCGTTCCACCTTCCCCTCTGCCTCTGGCCGAAAGTATACTTGTACCCCCTCGACGTATCGATCCATAACAGTCTCACTGCTATTCGCTAACTTACTTACAATGGGCTCTTTTAACTTCTTAACTTTAAGCCCAAGACGCAGTTTCTGCAAACCTCGTTTACTAATATAGTTGCGTGTAGAACCACTGTCTATCATACCTCCTACTCTGACTCGATTTATCTCAAGATCTGCAATTATTAGCTGTCCTTTCTTCCGTTTCATTTCAGTCCAGGCTTGGCGACGAGCGGCCAACTCATCACCCACGCCAGCGAGGGATCCATCTAGAGAGATGCATATGTTTGCCACCTCTGGTGAGTGTACTAGATGGGGACTTCCTTCCTCTTCAGTTTCTGCCATTGGGGCCTTCGAATGGGAGGATTCTGATTTTTCAACATTCGAAGCCCCGGTAGAGGCAACTGGCACCTCTACTGGTTGTTCCCTTTTGCCCCCCTATAGTCAGGGCAATAGGGGACAATGTGGTCGAGGTCCCCACATTTGAGGCATTGATCTGCCTTCTTCCTTTCGGCCCAAACTTTTTCTGTAATTCCCAACTTTTTTCAAGGCTCTCCTTCCGGTAGGCCTGGATGTGGTGGGTACGGCTTATCCCACTTGTTGTACCATGAGCCTCTTCCTCTACCCCAGGTGGAGTAAGAACCACGACCACCGTATGAGGGACCATTTCCCCTTTCTCCCACGTAGTGGCTTCCTTCACCACCACCCCTCTGGGTGCCGAATCCTCGTCCACCACGGTCGCGACCTCGTCCTCGGCCACGCCCTCTTCCTTGACGCCCTCCCCCGCGGGCTGCAACAGCCGCGTAACTCCCCTCCTGAGCTACCGGTCTGTTGGGTTCATCGAGACCATAGTCCACCTGATCCCAGGAGATGGTCTCGGCGCCTCCTTCTTCAAAGGTTAGAAGAAGACAATCTTTCCCAAGTATAGATCCTAAGATGGTGCGGTTTTGCCATCTCTTTCCCGCTTGCAGATCCTTCCAGTAATGGCAATAATTTGCTTTTGCGAGGAAGCCATCATGATCTATGGCGATCTTGCCGAACTTCTCATATGTCATCCCCTCTTCCTTTGTGCGGGGATAGAGTTGCGTTCTCAGGGGATCTGGGAGTGCTCGTGCAAAACTGTTTAAGATTTGGGCTGGCGTTAATCCATGATCAGGGCATTGCAACAATTCGTTCATAGTTGCTTTTAATGCAAAGGTACTTTTCCATTTCCTATCGGAAAGGTTGAGAATCAACATTTTTGTACGTCTTGCCAAATTTTTGTCCTCAAATCTTTCTCTTATTAACCTAAGGAAATCTTCGATTCGCGTTTGCTGCGAATATTCTACCATAGAGCTGCATCCCGCCTCCTTTTGCAGCGAGATGGCGAAGCTCATGGCGTCGCCTCCCATGCACRAAGTTGCCATCAACACCCTGTCCCAGTATGGGATACGTTGTCCGTACACATAGGTTTCAATTGTCGCCGCCCAGTGCAACACACTCTCTTCTTTCTTTCCATTGTAGGTCCAGGGCAGTTTAAGTTTAATCTTGTTAGTCTGCCCAGGTTCCTGAGAAGGTTGACCCCTTGAACCCTCAATCTTCTTCTTTCCTTTCTTATCATCATCGCCGTCGCCATCTCCATCTCCTCCGTCGCCTCCATCTCCCTTTACAATCTTTTCTACGACCTCCGGGGTGAAGACTTTATTAATATGTTCGTCCAAAGCCTGGATGTAAGTTTGCACATGTTGGTCCACATCCTTCGCTGACTTTTCTACGAAGTTATTCCAGACATTCTCAAATTCAACCCGATGTGTTTCTACACGTTGCAATGTCTGCCGCATTAAGTCCATGTCTTGCCTCGTGTTGAGGACGGCCTCCCTGAGGAGTGCAAGTTGTGCTTCAGTTGCAGAGGGGTTTTCCTTTTGCGCTTCTAGAGCTTTTTGCAATTTATCCCCTTCTGYCTGCAATCTTTWCTTTTCYTCCACSTCTTGCCKKCTAGCGGCCAACARCCTGCGATTTAGCTCAGCCCGTTTCTCCTCCAACATCAGGTTTCGTTCAACGGTGTCTTTAATAGTGGCCAACTTGGCGATGAACGTATCCCGTTCTTCATCAGATTCTTTCAACGGCTCGCTGGAGTAGTGGTACCGGCTGCCCCAATCCAGTGGTTCAACGGGAAGGTGGCGCGTTGTGCTGCTTTCAGGTATGTCTGGGCGACGACGTCTTTCCAACAGTTCTCCTTCGTCTTGTTCTTGTTCTTCTTCTTCTTCTATACTCTTCAACTCTTCTTCCAACTCTCTTTCCATTTTCTCTTTCATTTTCTTTCTTGCTTCTTCTTCTTTCTGCTTTTTCTTTACTTCCTTTTCTTTTTTCTTTTCTGCTAGCCTGCGGTCAATTTCGGCTTGCTCCGCAGGTGTGGGGCCAGACTTCACTGTCCCTGACCGCATCAGCATGCGGGACGTGCACACACGTCCGAACCCCAACGGGAACATCAGCCTGAACAGGGGCCCCAATAATACAGAAAGGGCCAACAGGCCCTGGATGGGATAGTCATCCATGATGATTGCCGGCACAGGAGATCCTCCGCCGGGTCACCAAGATACTATCCCACTTACAGACTTGGTCTTGACTTGCGGTAATGGAGTACTTATACCTTTTCTTTCCCTTTTTTTTTTTTTTTTTAATGGTAGAGGTGTTGCGTACAATCAACAATAGATCAAATTAGAATGAACTTGTTTTTTTTTTTTTTGTTTCTGTTGACTGTAGAAGGTGCTGCGTAGTTCAAACAAGTTATATGTTGTTTGGCTCCCTGGATCAAACTGTTGGCAATGTGTTTCCCTCAATGTATATATATATATATTTTTTCTTTCGGTACTAACTTGGCTGGCTGCTGTGTGCAGATATGGAGTATAGCGCAAAGAAGTCAGATGCAATTGGTTAACTTACCCATCCAGGCAGAGATACTTCGTATACCCTGTTCTTTCTTTCGGGCTTAACAGGCCCTGTAAATACTACTCATCATATTTGTATTGCCTGGTACATGCAATCTGACGTGGCACATAGCCACTTTCCACATCAATTCTTGGTTCTTGATAACGATACCCAACCTACCTATCAAGAGGGATAGGAGAGAAACATACTCCTATTCGCAGAATACTGGACCCCTGCTCTAGTGTGACCAGTTCCTGACACATCACACTTGGGTTATCAAACTCTGACGGCTCAGACCTGACATCTATGACAACCCAGATCCAGACTTCGACTCCTAACCAGATCAGCAGCAGTCACCTTCAGAGGGTCAGAGAGAGAGTAGATAGGGGACACACACATGCATGCAGGTTCAGGGAAAGGAGGTGCTTTTCTCTCTTCTTGAAGATACCGCCGATGGTGCTCCACGACGCTCCACACGCTCCAGGTAGTAGACTTCGCCACTTCTTCTTCGGCCTGCTCCCCCACTATCAACACTCTTCTTCTCTTCCTCCCTCCTTCACTCTGCCTCCATCACCACTTCCTCTCGCCGGCCTTGATCAGACCAGCGCTATGAGAGTAGCGAGCATCAGCTCCGATACCAAATTTTGCATGGGTCCTGGGGACCATCTCACGCAGATGTGTACATGTCATGCATCATCTTCACACGCAGTGATCAATAGTCTCAACCATAGACAAAGGTAGAGAAGAAGAGGACCGAGTTTCACAGCTTATATTATCAGAATTATGAATACAAAGTGTTTCAAAGTTCCCCTGAGTCCAGCGCTCATCAGCGCAACACCAATCTCTTATCAACTCATCAATATGGCTTYCAATGTATCAGCGCTACATCTGCAGACAGTCTCCAAGWCGTCAATGTGGTCACTACTCTTCAGCGCCACCTCTGCAGGTCACATCTAACCCAGGTAAGTATCTTCCATAGCCGAACCTTGAATGAACACTTTCAGCCTCAGTCCCTTCCTCCTAYGRTGCATACACACTCTTCACTCATGAGGATCTACTCTGGATACTACTCATAGCTAACCACTACTAACCCTCTAGTACTAATACTAACTGCTGGGCAGCTATGGCTGCATTCTTTCCAGCATACAAGCTTCTCCCTTCACTCAGYGCATCTTCTCCTTCCAGCGCTGCTCCTACTGGCTCAACGCACAAGTGCACCAGCACTTCCASGTATAGAATGCCAGTGGGGATCTGGCGAGGAATGAGGCTGGCTGCCTCCTTTATACTCCTCGCTGGGTCTGCATTGGCTCAATCCAGCCTTCCTTTTGTCCCAGACCCTGCATTGCATGTGTCCCAGTAGAGTCCCAATGAAGTTCAACTGCTGCTGAGGCCTCCTGGCCTGGATTTGGACTTGAAAGTCTGGATCTGGACTGACCCCAGGACTTAGACCAGAATTGGGACTGTGCCTATTGACTTTACTTTCGGACAGGCATAATTCTAAACGAACAGACACATTCCTTTGCACGAACAGGTACACTGTCTGCACGTACAGACACATTCTTACCCGAACAGACATGACATACACAGCTCCTGGTGAACAGGTAAGTCCTTTGACAATTCCCTTTGCCTTAGATTTAGATGTGCCTGTTGACAGAGAACTTGACCTTTGACCTGCTTTCACGTTTCTGAGCCCTGGCGAGATACCTTTTCACAATGCTTTACTTTTTCAAGGCCCGTGCTTCTTTATTTTTACAAGGCCTGAGGCCTATATTGGTAAAGGCCCTTTTAATGAGCTTGAAAGTAGAAGCCTTTTCCCAAACAAAAAAAAAAGGTAGAAGCCTGCCTCTTCGGCCCATTCTGTGCCGCCAGATATACTGGTAGGGTGATGGTCCTGAGTGCTGGTCACACTGAGGTAGGATAGTACGGACAGGGGGTGCGCCGGGAGGATTAACATGGGGATGGGGTAGGGTAGGTGGCCTATCCTGTCCGGACAACCTTGGCTGCTGCTGCCAGCAATCACCGTGGGTCTGGTCCTTGGCCTCTACAACACCCTGGGCTTTTATTATAAATTTAAAAAAAAAGAAAAAAAAAGGAATTCTACCTTATGTACCAAACAGCAAACCAAAACAGAACTGTATCTTGCCCCATACTGCAATCATAACTCATTTTTGTGACTTTACTGAAGTTACCCCACCCCAAAGGGGAAACTACTGAGAAGTCACAACAACGAGTTATAATTGCACTACAGGCCAAGATACGGTTTCGAATTGCAGTCCGGGCAATGTATACAACCCAGCTTTCTGGCCAGGTAGGGTGCCCAAAGTGCAATTGCAAACTGTATCTTGCCCCATACTGCAATAATGTGCAATTATAACTCTTTTTTTTTTTTTTTTTTTTTTTTTCAAACACCCCCGCCGTGTTAGTGGTGTTGGTAATAGCAGACACCACCAGCACCCGGGGAGGGGCTCCATCTATTGGTGGGGATCATCACCTGCTGGGAAACGGGCCCAGCTACAACTGAATTTGAGTACATCAGAAAAACACTTGTGGGGAGTTCCTGCCAGCATTGATTACCCTGGGGACCAGGGGATTGACTGAGCAGTTTATAGAGGGGAAGGGGGGACCTCTTCACCCTGAATCTGGCGCCAGATATTTGCTTGCTACACCCTAGTTCCACCCTCCCCTTCCAGCCCCAATCCCACATCTTGGCAATCTATCACTGAGTCTTGTAGATTAATACTACCTGGGACCCCCTCCTCCGTACCACTGTTCCCCCACTATGGCTAAAGCTGGTGGCGGGAAAGGATCTGGGAAGTCTGACGCAGGGCGCCATGGTACGTCTGGGCAGGCATTTGTCCACTCCTGAAAAAGAAGATGATAATTCTTGTCGTTAGGCCCCACAAATTCCCCGTTCCCCTCCCTTCCCCCTTTCCCTTCCCAGTCATACCTCCTCCATCTCATAAACGCAACGTCTCCTCCATAGCGCCCAAAGTACTGTCTGCCTCCCTAATTTAAATATATTATCCTCGAAGGTGGTAGTTTGCTCCGGGTGCCATGTTTCACACAACAGTGCTTTCCAATCCCACGGCAAGGGTGTCGTGGTGCCCATCTGTCTCCAGACCCTCTCCTACCGTCTCCACAGCCATACTGATCCCGGGCATTGTAGAAAGATGTGTTCGATTGTTTCTAGTCGACATCGTGATGGGAAGACAGATGAACAAAGTTTGCACCATGGCAGAGCAAGCCCTCGCTGTTCCAAAGTTGTCCTGTCAATCAGCCAATCGTTCGTGGGCAGGCAGCGGTGCTCAATGTGCCGTTGCAGTGATCCCCCTTTCGCTGGGGAAGCCTTGCTCAGCCTAAACCATTTTACTGAGCGAAGGGTCTCTTTCCCAACATTCAGGTGCCGCATCCACCTATTTTCTATCACATCCTTCAGGTCCATTTTGGGGCGCAGCAGCCGATAAGCTGACTTGACTGACTGTGTATGTAGTTGTCGCTGTCCTTGTTTTCCCCTGCCCATGCTTAGTGTCCAGGTCCAGTTTTCCGGGTCGAAACCAAGGTGCGAGATTGGTGTGGTCGTTTTTGTGACTCTACTGGAAGTTACCCCATACCCAGCCAAACCATAACTAGCTCAGCGGGAGGGGACGGATCAGGAAATAAATATGTAAACCAAGCAGCTCCCTCTATTCATTGACAAGTTGAAAATTACTCTTCCACTCTACCCATCCATATCTACCAGAGCTAGCTCAGAGCTTCTGTAACCAACCAGCAATTTCAGAGCTGAAATTCAAAAGTAAACCACCAGTACTTGGCCCAACTATAGGCCGTTGGAAAAAAATAGAGTAGAAATGTTTCTAGTCGGATGAATTTGGGCGCTCCTGTAGTAGCCCGTACGTTTCCTAAAATCGTGGCGCGTTAACGGGCACGACTCTAGGAAGTACTGGTGGTTTAAAATTACCCTTCCCCTCTACCAAAACAATCCATATCTATCAGAGCTAGCTCAGAGGATGTGAGCCCACCAACAAAAAAAAAAAAAAAAAAAAAAAAAA